GTATATCCCATTTTTTCTAAGTTCCGTTATTGAATATTATAGGTTTGTAAACTCAGCAAAATATTCTAAAAGAGTCCAGTAGCCCATAATCAGCTGCATTTTCTTAATGAATAGAGAGATTTGTTCTAATAGTGTTTATGGACAGGACAGCATGTATACATCTTTTACAATGAATAACCACTAAGACAACAATATGTGATATATTAATTATTGAAACTGTGCTAGTAATGTTTTGAAACTGTCTCATTGCTATTTCTCAATAAAATTATTTAAAAAAATAAATCATTTTCACAAACTCCCTCTTTAATCTTTAACAACTCACATCATTTATATCCTTCATTTGTGTAAAAAATTTCAGTAAACAACTACCATAATATCATCCTAGGTATAATAAAAACAAATGACTAAACTGAATAATAAATAGTATCAGGGAAACACTGAACTAAGAGAAAACAGTCCTTGAAGAAGTCTGTGAGAAAAAGCAAGAGAATTGAGCAAGACAAGTGATTAACATGTTTTGACCTAGAAAAGATTAAAATGTCTCTTACCTGTACATGAGGTTTGGTTAGTTCTTGCGTATAGTAGCATGCCTTATTTGTCATCTTTATGGGAAATCCACATATACGAGGCAATTTGGATTTTAAATCTGAAAGAAAACTGTTCAGCACACCTTCCAAATCTACCCTTGGGAAGAACTGTATAGGCTGACTTCTAATGCAACTGAGAGGGTATCTATACAAAGTTAAAGGACAATGTAACTTTTTTGTGTGTAAGAGACAGCAATTTTATGCAATTATAAAACATTTAAATAGCAATGTTTAAAAATATACATTAATAGACTGGCGTGGTGGTATACTCAAGTAATCCCAATACTTGGAAGGTTGAGGCAGCAGGATCCTGGAAAGTTTGAGACCAACCTGGGCTACAAAGTGAGATCAAGGCCAGAACTGCATAGCAAGACCTTGTCTCAAAAGGAAGAACAACAAAAACCACATAAAACCCAACTATTTTTATATTGCTTATCCTATACACATTCATTCCTTTTATTTAAAAATTATTTTATTAATAAATAATAACTGTTCATGTTTATGGAGTTTAATATGGTTCTCTGGAACAACATTCATAATTAAGGCTGGCATGGTGGTACACATCAGTAATTCCAGCACTTGGGAGGCTGAAGCAAGAGGATTACTATGAGTTCGAGTTCAGCCTGAACTACATAGCAAGACCCTGTCTCAAAAAAATCATAATTAAGGCAATTAAAAGTGCCATTATTACATGGCTTTCTAGATAGACTGCCACACTAAAGTAGTCCAAAGATACATAAAGAAAGCCATATAAATATTTATAGATAATAAAAATAACTGCATTAGTAAACAAGAATAAGTTATAATTTCACTATCAATGAAAATTTCAAAGCTGGGGAGATAGCTCAACAGCATAAATGCCTGCCTGGCAAGCACAAGGTCCTGAGTTTGATCCCTAATATCAAAAAATTAGAAAATAAAAGTAAAGCAATTAAAACTTTAGTACAGAGAAACAACATATACTTATTATATTCAAACTCCAAAAGCAGACCTTTGAGAACAGTAATTACAGGAAATATCCTGACATCTTATGAAAGGAGAACAACTGGTATATGTCAACCTCAGTTTCACTGTGCATATCTGAGACAGAAACACAGAAAACAGAGCTGTGTCTTTCATTTCTAAACTCTAGCTAATCAGAATTCAAACAGTACTAATTAAGATTCAAGAGTTCCACCTGAATTGTGCTCTTGTTTCTATGTGTGGCTTTTGAGAATACTGTTAGATATATTCTTCAGTGAATGCAATCCATTAAGTACAAGTGAAACCCTCTAAAATTTGCCTGTAGAATGACATAATCTCAAAAGAACTATCAACCTTCAGCTGGGGCTGGAGCTCTGTGGTAGCTCTCTTGCTTTGCATGCACAAGGCCCTGGGTTCAATACCCAGCAACTCCCAAAAATATCTAAAATACCACTAGAGGGAGCCATTGGCTAAGAAAAAAATCCTGATTGTTTTCTCACTTTCTACTGGGAAACAATGTAAATTTTCGTCTGTCTACTCAAATATTTTATTAGCTAAATTGTGAAAACAAAAAAAAATAATTTTTGGAACAGTATTTAAGAAAACAAATTATTCTTACTGAACTCACCTTCAAATGAAATAGGTGAAAATTCTAAGCAAAACCCAAAACACTTATACAGGTAATAAGTAGAAGAAAAAGTAATTTTGTTAAATATGACATCATGGGGCCAGAGCAAGACCAGATAATAAAGTGGGTAGAAGGCATCTCCTACAAGTATTACTGCAAAAAAGGATACATGAAAGTCCTTTCTCCAATCATCTTGAAGTAGATGTTACAGTATATTTTAATATTTCTACCATCTTCTGGAAGTTTATAGCCATACTATAAATTAAGCACAAAATTTATATCAACTTGGAGAAAGCTAAACACATTAAAATACAAGAAATAAAATCAAATAACTTATAATAAATATTTTTGTTCCTACCAAGTCATCCCAGTATATCTGGAACTCTTCAAATGAATGAAATGGACAGTCAGCGGGTATGTCATGAAGAATATTTATTATTTGTCCCATTTTCATACTATGTAAAAATGAAAATTTTTAAAATATTAACAGTCAATGCTTAGCACAGCAGTTGGGGTTCGATCCCTTGGCATGCCCTGCTGGCTCCACCCCTGGGGCGCGCTGAGATGGCAATTAAGGCTGGGCATGGTGGTGCATGCCTGTAATCCCAGCTCCTGGGAGGCTATAAACAGGTGGATCTCTATGAGTCCGATCTAGTAATGAGAC